CCACTCACCTCAGCCTCCCAAAGGCGCGGGATTACCGGCTGAGCCACCAAGCCCGGCTAAGTCAACTTTATAAAACATTTTCCTGATAACTATAATACTGTGAAGCTTTCATTTAGGCAACATGTAATCACTTAAGTTATAACAGTGTAATCAAGTCCAAACCCGTTCTGCTTACCATATGATAGCCAGTAAGTCAAGAGACAGAGAGTTGGCACAAGGAATGTGACTTTATTCAGATTGCCAGCAAAACTGAGAAGATGTGGATTTATGCCCTAAAGGACCATCTTTAGTTATGTATACTTTGGTCTTTATCTAGGCATAGGGGAAAAGAAGGGGACTGAAAAAAGTTGTGAAATCTCTTTCTCCTTGGTTAATGGTGTCCTTGTTCCTTTAAATTTTTTTTTTTTTAATAAAGATGTGGGGTACAGTTCAGGGTTAGGTATACAAACGTTGATTATGCAGGTACCCTTATTGATGACGTGTGCCCCTCCCTCCCCTGGCAGTTTCCCTTGGGATTATTCTCGAGAAGAGTTGAAGCAGCTGCAACTGCTGTGGTTTGCCTGTGTAGATAGGTTAATTCTGAAGTGCCACACAGTTGTTCAGGTGTTGTCACCTGTGTGCCTGTAGCCAAACCCTGTCAGGAAGTGGCTCTAGCAGCTCTATCCTTGCTTAGAGGTCCTGGTTTCAACCTTCTGATTTCCCTGGGTTGACCCTGTTCTTATGATTTTCCATGAGTCCAAGAGATTATTTGCACCATACCTGGATTCTTTTCAAGCTGGCTTTTGTCCTCAAGAAGCTTATGTTTGTCTCTTTGAGGAGTTTTCCAGCACATGAGGGTAGGTGACAGATTCTTTTTTGTTTACACTAAATTGTTGGTATTTAGTGAGGAAAAAATGGGTAAATGGCAGGACCCTATTCCTTCCTTTGATCTTCTCATCTGGTCCAGCACTAGTCACCCAGCTTAAATCTTCCCTCCTTGGTCTTTCTCTTCACTCCAGTACGGGGATTCAGCTTGAGATGGAAAAGTCCCAAACCCACCAGAGACGCTGGCTCATTCTTCTTACTTCTCTGCCGGTCTCTGTTGATCTCCTGCACATATCTTTGCTAATTCAAATGTTCATGTATGCACACACCACAGGCTGTGTTGTATCTGGTAGCTTGGATTCCTTTTTTCTTATGTTTAAAGTTGTTTGATCACAGTAGTCTGCTCAGTGCATGTCTATTCAGCTACAGTATAATTTATAGCAACGTACAGTGCCAGGATAAAGAATCATAATACCCATAGGGCTGGTTCTTTTCTGTGTTTTGCGTTACAGTTTCTAAAGCAAACAGTGTAGTCTGATTTTTGTGGATTTTAAATTTAACAGTATATTCAGATAGGAATTGAATATTTACTTTCAGTTAGGAAAACCTTCTGTTCACTTATCTGGTAGCTTACATGTTTCTGGAACCAAAAAAAAGAACAGCTTGAGAGCTTGAATGCCATGGGACATTTAAGGCGAGCCCTTCGTTCCCGGCTCCCCTGACTCATTCTGGGTCCCTGAAATATGCCATAATCTGATGTGTACTTACACATCAAGAGTTATGTGTGAACGCTGGGATTCCCATAGCTTGAGCCAGCACATGAGAGAATGACAAGGGTGGGGGAATTGGAGCAAGAGAACAAAGCCAGAACTAGGTGAAGATTGTGGAAGGTGAGTCACCTATTTTAGAAATGATGAGAATGCCTTTACAGATTAATAATTGCTATATGCTAAAATCACTATACAAGACATTTTATAAAAGTAAAAAGTAGGCCAGGCGCGGTGGCTCACGCCTATAATCCCAGCACTTTGGGAGGCCAAGGTGAGAGGATTGTCTGAGCCCAAACTGAGGTTTGAGACCAGTGGGGCAACTTGGTGAGACCCCATCTCTACAATGAATAAAAAAATTAGCTTGGCATGGAGGCATGTGCTTGTAATTCCAGCTACTTGGAAGGCTGAGGCAGATCACCTGAGCCCAGCAGGTTGAGACTGTGGTGGCCGTGAGCGTGCCGCTGCTCTCCAGTCTGGGTAACAGTGAGACTCCTACTCCAAATAGAAAAAAGAAAAAGTAAAAAGTTACAGATTCTGCTTTCATGGAGCTTCACAGTCTGGGTTGGGGTGACTCCTGCTCATTGTTCATGGACTGTGCCTTGGTTTTTGTTTTTGTTTTTGTTTTTGTTTTTTTGAGTTAGAGTCTCATTCCTTTGTCCAGGCTGAAGTGTAGTGACATGCTCACAGCCACCACTCAATCTGCTGGGCTCAGTTGATCTTTCCGCCTCAGCCTTCCAAGTAGCTGGAACTACAGGCGAACGCTACCATGGCTAATTTTTTTATTTATTGTAGAGATGAGGTCTTGCCAAGTTGCCCAGGCTGGTCTGGAACCTGTGAGCTCAGGCAATCCTCTCACCTTGGCCTCCCAAAGTGCTGAGATTCTG